CTGAAGGAACACGGAGCACCCCCCCCAGACCTCCCCCCACAGGCCCTGAAGGAACACGGAGCATCCCCCCCAGAGCTCCCCCCACAGCCCCTGAAGGAACACGGAGCTTCCCCCCCAGAGCTCCCCCCACATCCCCTGAAGGAACACGGAGCTTCCCCCCCAGAGCTCCCCCCACATCCCCTGAAGAACACGGAGCGGTTGGCCCCCCCACAGAGCCCCTGAAGGAATGTGCCCTTGGTCTTGGACCAGCGCCTCCAGCTGGCGGCACGTGGCCCTCCGTCTGTGCAGGATGCGCCGGGACACAGACACGGGGGTCCTGGGCACCATGTGGCCCAACGCAGGAAGGATGCTTCTCTCGTGACATTTACTGAGTTCTCCTCACGTTCGTGGACTTCCCAGGAATCTGATTATTTGGAGCCAGTCTAATACTTGTAATGACTCACAGAAGGGGTTCTGCTTTATGGTGCAACCAAAGGCTTCTCAACAAGTATTTCAGCTGCTAAAATGGATCGTGTTGGCTTAGGAGTAAACACTGGGGCACCTGCTTCCTCGCTCGGGGCGGGTTCTCGGGTAGAAGCCCCGGGCGCTGGTCACCAGAGCCCTGAGCCGCCAGCCTGGCCCGACGCCCGGCGCTCTCTCGGGGCCCGGGGCCCCCAGCGTGCTCTCAGGGGACACAGACGCCTGCGCTGGCCTGTTGCTTTCAAAGATGACAGGAATTAAGCTACATCGACATTCGGAACATTGCAAGTGGTTCCGGGACAAGGGCGCTGAAGCCAGGCCCCGCGGGGAGGTCAGGGAGGGGATGGTGGGGGGTGTCAGGGGCCTGACTCCCTAACTGCCCCCACCCGGCGAAACGTGGAGCCGCAGTTAATGAGAACACCCTGGCTGGTTACTGCTTACCCTACACACAGGTGCGGGGTTCGCAGGGTTTGGACAGACGGCCCTGGACCAACAGGGAGAGCACGTCCCCCCAGAATGGGGACCGCCACGGGCAACGTCCCCCCCAGAACGGGGACCGCCACAGGCAAACACGCCGGAGAACCGGTGGGGACGGCAGCAGATCCAGAAGCTGCCCCTCGCTCGGCAGGAAGGACGTGGCCAGAGCAGCTTCTGACACCAGCTCCCCTGAGACGGCAGCGCGGGGAGGGGGGGAGACATCACGAAAACGCCAAGGCACCGAGGGCAACACGCTCAGGGACCCACGGCTGGACACCCTCACGGTGCGGTGACACCCGCCTGCTCGGGCAGGAGGGGGGAGCCCCACATGACGCCGCCCGCAGGTGTGAGGCCAGCACCAGGACAGATGGCTAGATGGACAGATGGATGGAGGGGGCCCCACCCTACGGCCACCGTGCACCCGGCTCGGAGTGCCCAAGTGTGGCCGGTTCTCTCCAAGGCCTGGGTCTGGGGAAGATACGCATCAGATCTAGAAGACCCTGGGGAAGCTGAGGTCGGCACATGTTGATTACGTGTTGACATATGAGCATGCTTGATATAGTTAATAAACTCAGTAAAATCATCTAGTTTCTATTTTTTTTTAATTTTTTCAACTTTTATTTTTGAGAAAGAGAAAGAGAGAGAGAGCATGAGCAGAGGAGAGGCAGAGAGAGAGGGAGACACAGGATCCAACATGGGGCTCCATCCCATGAACCGTGAGATCGTGACCTGAGCTGACGTTGGATGCTTAACCCACCGAGCCCCCAGGTGCCCTGTTTCTCTGTAATTTTTAATGAACCTGCTAGAACATTTAAACTGATTTGTGTTCCCATCTTCTTGCACAGCCTGTTTTCCAGCAGTCAGGCCAGCTGCCCGTGCTCCCAGCAGGCAGCCGGACAAAGACCACACGCGCATCCAGCCAGGGAGGGGTACACAGAGCCCCTCCCCCAAACAGGAGCAGAGACGTTAAAACAATAAAAAGAACTACACTGAGATTCTGGAACTGAAAATCATAACTGCTAAAATGGAAAGTCCCTGATCAGACTCGATGACGTCCTGACTAGGGCAGAAAACGGGGCGAGGGCAGGAGACCAGACAGCACGAAGTCTGAGGGAGACGGGACAGGCCTGTGCTGTCAGGGCGTCTTTCACGCGATGCACCCGGCATATGACGCGCACAGAAACTCAGTCAGCCTCCGAGCAACAGGAGAGACAGTCAGAGGCCGTGCAGCCCAGCCCGGGGAGGCGGGCGCAGGGAACCGCGATGCCAGGGACTTCAAATACGAACCCCAGGTTCCAGGTCATAACCGCAGACACAGAGGCCGTTTCACCTGAACTGACGCCCGCCCTGCAGGAAGTACCAGGAGGGTTTATTCACTTAGTGATGGTGAGGATTCTCGTAAGCAATGTGCCCGGCGGGTCCCCTGATCAGCAGCGGCAGCGTCTCCTGGGAACTTGCTAGCGCAGCGCTGGCCCCCCCCAATCTACAGGACCAGAAACGCCGGGGTGGGGGCTGGCAATCCGGAGTGTTCATCAGCTCCCCAGAGAAGCACCGGGAAGTGTGAGAGCTCTGCTCTTCGGTGATGCCGGGGAGGCAGCTGTGTGTGCAAGTGTGTGTGTGAGCAAGTGTGATTGTGTACACTGTGTATGCGTGTATGATTGTGTCGTGTGTGAATGTGTGTGCATCTGTGTGCTCACTTCTGTGTGCATATGTGCAGGTATGATGGTGTGCATCTGTGTGTGCAAGTGTAATTGTGTACATCAGTGTGTGCATGTGTGCAAGCATGTGCATCTGTGTGTGATTGTGTGTATGTGTGTGCATCTGCGCATGCATGTGTGGTTGTGTGCATCTATGTGTGCAGACACACGAGCAGCATCTGCACACACACATGCACACACATGTCCGTATGTACACACATGCACTTGCACACACAGATACACACCTGTGCACACGCATGCACAGCAGATGTCTGCTCGTCCCCTCCGCTCTTTCTCCACATCTGATCCTTTCGCCCATTTGTCATTGCTGACAGAAAGCTTATGTTAAATGTAAGCCAATCAGAAAGTGGTTAAAGCCAAGTGTATGCTAGGTGCCCCCTCTCCGTTTTTTAAC